AAATTGGCCAATAATAAAGCTTAATATTCAAGTGTAACAATAACAACAACAACGCACAAGATTAAACCCCGTTAGTTTACACCTATTAGTAAAAAGTCGCACCTGGTTGTCCTGGCGGAATCTGTCAGCCACTTTTGCAAAAAAGTGAGTTACATTTGGGGAGCTCCTCGCATGTCACAGAGCTATTTGAGTGTCCCCTGGAGTAAGTTTCTTGTTATTATGCCGCACTTTCAGTGCGATTAGCCAGATAGTCACAGCCTTAAAATGACTTCACATACCAACGCCTCATTGCAGCTACCCTGGTCGAATACCAATTTCGTAAGTGGTAGTTACCACAGTGCATGGGACATGTGATTAATCTAGAACAGTCACATCCCCGACCCGGGTAATGGCACACTAGATGTCAACACTCTAATGAAGGGCGAAAAAAACTGACGGGAACAGAAGCGCGGAGAAGCCATTGCAGGGCGACATATTCCGTTTAAGCACGTGCTTAAAAGAAGCACTCAAGCGCACAGATGAAACTCATCACGAAAGAGCCCTTAAAGTGCAAGTCAGAACAAGTCCATTGCCAACGCGTGTGTCACACGTTTGCAACCGGTGTAGCGCACGCTCCGTAAAGGCTGCGCTAGGCCGCTCAGAAGACCGAGTACCACACGCGAAAATTATCACTGGCAAGAGGAAACTCGCATGATATAATCTACCCTTTCTGCTGAGGGTACAGTCGTGCATAAAACACGTACCTGGATTTCCAGGTAGAGGTGGCGTTATGAGTGACTGGCTGACTTATTTCATCCAAATAATTCAACTTCCCGAGCACGTGGAAAATGTTTCGAGCTATCAAGCGGGCGTGAAGAGAGGTCTGGATGTCTCCTAGCAACTGCATCAGCAGACATTTTGATTCACTCCACCCCCAATCACGGACTCTACCCAATCCTTCGGAGCTTGGCGAAAAAAACCGTTAAATTATTGGCAGATAGTGTTGTCGGCAAGCACAGGGGAGACTGGAATGGCTATTTCTGGCTCATTAGCCATCTTCAGGCAGTCATACACAGACTCAATTGGTGTCCCACCCGAGCCTCGAACTCGCAACCCAAAACAGGGCAGACGAATTCCATTAGCAGTCAGATGAACGTTGATCGAGTGTCAATATCCCCTGACCTAAACCGGCGAGGCAATGAGCTCGTGACTCAATAGTTATGGCGTTTGACTCTGATCACAGAGGTCGCGAGTTCGAGGCTTGGGTGGGCAACCACTCGAGTCCAGGTATGACTGGCTGACGACGGCTAATGAGCCAAAAATGCCGTTCCAATCTCCAGTAACGGTCGCCCAACCAACATGCCGACCATTGGCGCAGACTGAAAAGTCAGCG